GGGGGTGTCCCCATGTCCCTGTCCCCACGGGGGTGGCAGTGCCAGGGTGACCCCCATGTCCCTGTCCCCACACTGGGGGTGTCCCCGTGTCCCTGCCCCACACTGGGGGTGTCCCCATGTCCCTGTCCCCACGGGGGTGGCAGTGCCGGGGGGCCCCCCAGGTCCCTGCCCCACACCGGGGGTGTCCCCATGTCCCTGCCCCACACTGGGGGTGTCCTCATGTCCCTGTCCCCATGGGGGTGGCAGTGCCAGGGTGACCCCCATGTCCCTGCCCCACACCGGGGGTGTCCCTCTGTCCCTGCCTCACACTGGGGGTGTCCCCATGTCCCTGTCCCCCACTGGGGGTGTCCCCATGTCCCTGCCCCACACTGGGGGTGTCCCCATGTCCCTGCCCCACCGGGGGTGTCCCCTTGTCCTTGTCCCCACTGGGGGGTGGCAGTACCAGGGCGACCCCCATGTCCTTGTCCCCATGCCAGGGTGACCCCCATGTCCCTGCCCCACACCAGGAGGGTCCCCATGTCCCTGCCCCACACTCGGGGTGTCCCCATGTCCCTCTCCCCACACTGGGGGGGTTCCCATGTCCCTGCCCCACACTCGGGGTGTCCCCATGTCCCTCTCCCCACACTGGGGGGGTTCCCATGTCCCTGCCCCACACTCGGGGTGTCCCCATGTCCCTCTCCCCACACTGGGGGGGTTCCCATGTCCCTGCCCCACACTGGGGGTGTCCCCATGTCCCTCTCCCCACACTGGGGGTGTTCCCATGTCCCTGCCCCACACCAGGAGTGTCCCCATGTCCCTGCCCCCATGCCAGGGGGTGTCCCCGTGTCCCTGCCCCACACTGGGGGTGTCCCCATGTCCCTGTCCCCACTGGGGGGTGGCAGTGCCAGCCTGTGACACTCAGTGGCTTTATTGGGCCCCCCCGGGCTGTGCCCCCCCCCCGGGGGTCCCAGGGCCCCTCCACGCCCCGAGGCCACCCCAGTGTCCGTCCTCGGCTGTGTCCGTGCGTCCGTCCTCTGTCCGAGTGTCCGTCCTCTCCGTCCCCGCTGGACGTGGCCCCTCCCAGGCCCTCGGCTGTCTGCCAGCTCCGTCCGTCCGTCCGTCCGTCCGTCGGTCCCTCGGTGTCCCCGGGGCTCAGTGGCAGTTCTGGCACCGGGGCACCCCCAGAACCCCCCTCGGAGCCCCCGCACCTGCAGCATGTCCCGCGTCTGGCGCGCGGCCGCGTCGTGCAGCGCCCGCAGCTGCAGCTCGTCCTGGTACTGCCGGCAGTTCTGGCCCTCGTGGATGGCCTGGGGGGGCCGGGGGTCAGCCGGGACCACCCCCCCGGGACCCCCCCCGGGACCCCCACGGGCTCACCTTGCACAGGAGGCAGTTGAGGGCCCCGCACACCGGGCACGGGAACTCGTTGACCGCGTCCTCGTAGAAGCACCAGCCCGGGCAGTCCCGGCCCCGGCAGTGGAAGCTGTTCCGGCTGCGGCGCTCGGCCAGCGCCAGGCCCCGCGCCAGGAAGCGCGCGTGCTCCTCGGGGGACAGCAGCTGTGACACATTGGGGACATTGGGGACATGGCACTGGGACCCCTGAGTCACTGTCACCCACCCCTAGGAACCTTGAGCCAGCGCCAGGCCCCGCGCCAGGAAGCGCGCGTGCTCCTCGGGGGACAGGAGCTGTGACCGTGGGGACATTGGGGACATTGGGGACATGGCACTGGGACCCTGAGCCAGCGCCAGGCCCGCGCCAGGAAGCGCGCGTGCTCCTCGGGGGACAGGAGCTGGGGACACATTGGGGACATTGGGGACATTGGGGACATGGCACTGGGACCCTGAGCCAGCCCCCGCGTGCTCCTCGGGGGACAGCAGCTGTGACAGTGGGGACATTGGGGACATGGCACTGGGACCCCTGAGTCACTGTCACCCACCCCTGGGAACCCCTGAGTCACCAGTCCCCCCTGGGACCCCTGAGTCACTGTCACCCACCCCTAGGAACCCTGAGCCAGCGCCAGCCCCCGTGTGCTCCTCGGGGGACAGGAGCTGGGGACACATTGGGGACATTGGGGACATTGGGGACATGGCACTGGGACCCTGAGCCAGCCCCCGCGTGCTCCTCGGGGGACAGCAGCTGTGACAGTGGGGACATTGGGGACATGGCACTGGGACCCCCGAGTCACTGTCACCCACCCATGGGGACCCCCGTGTCACCAGTCCCCCCACCAGGGGTGGCATGTCCATGTTGGGACCCCCCGTGTCACTGTCACCCGCCCCTGGGGACCCCCCGTGTCACCACCTACCCAAGGGGACAGCCGGGTCCCCTGGGAGCCCCCTGTGGGTGTGGCTGTCCCCCCTGTGTCCCCTCCGTCCCCCCGTGT